AGAGAGAGAGAGAGAGAGAGAGAGAGAGAGAGAGAGAGAGAGAGAGAGAGAGAGAGAGAGAGAGAGAGAGAGAGAGAGAGAGAGAGAGAGAGAGAGAGAGAGAGAGAGAGAGAGAAGATGACTTCTACTTAGAATCATAGAATCCCAGACAAGAAGGGTTCTTAGAGGTTAGTTAATTCAGGCAGAATCTACCACATCATCACTGCCAAAGGACTGCTCAGCATCTATTTGAAAAGCTCTAGCAACAGAGAACTCGCTACTTCATGTGAAAGTCATTTAAGAAGCCGGCAACATCTCACTCATAAAATAGGTGGAGATGTGTTCAGAAAGAAGATTGAATAACAGAATGATGCAGTACATGATATTCCTGATTATGTGCCCTCACTTGTTGGGCAAATACATGGCTAGAAGTAAGCCTGTCCCTTTTTCACACTCATCCTATCAGCCTGGAGATTATGTCATTGGTGAGATCACATCCCAGGTTGTTCACATTTATACTGTGCCGTCTTTCACTTGGCCTCCTTTGTCAGAAGAGGGACAGATCAGCAGGTAGGAGGTTTTTGTCTTTTTGTTCTGATTGCATGGGTTTAATATCCAACATCCTACAATCTCTATCTTCAACCTTTCTGACACTTATCAACGCTATAGGGCAGTGGTGGCGAACCTATGGCACGCGTGCCAGAGGCGGCACTCAGAGCCCTTTCTGTGGGCACACGAGATGTTGCCCCAACCTTTCCTGCCCCCACGACCCCCTCCTCACTAGCAGCCCCCCTGGAAGAGAGTCGCCCCCGAGTGTGGCCCACATGGAGTGGTGCAGCCAAAGACATGGTAGTCAGGCAGCGTAGACAAGACTCTGGTCTCATGCCCCATCACGCACAGTTGATGCTGCGGGGTGCAGGCAGAGGGCGTGGCTGGGCTGGGCTGCCTGAGCGATCTGCAGTGGGCCCTGGAGGCAGTGAGTAGCCCTGTGGGCAAGTGGGGTGGGGGCGGGGCAGGGGGTGGAACGGGGGCGGGGCCAGTTTTTGGGCACTCGGTCTCTAAAAGGTTCTCCATCACTGCTATAGGGCATTACACACCAGAACAAGTAGGCACAAATACATTTCCCCACCCCATGCCATCACTCTGCTAAACAACTAATTCCCACAATAGTGTCAAACTATCTAGTAAGATTGTATTACTATTATTCTTGTCATCTTTCCTATTATCTCTCTCCTTATCTTCTTATGATTATAATTTTGTTGCTTGTTATCTTACAATTTATATTGTTTTATTTAGTATCCTAGTATGACTTATGTTGATCGTTTATTAATATCCTATGACTATCACTAAGCATTGTATCTTATGATTATGATGAATGTATTTTTACGATGGCTATGATCATGATTTATCACTTATTGCTTTTATGTACACTGAGAGCTTATGCACCAGAGACAAATTCCTTGTGTGTCCAATCACACTTGGCCAATAAAGAATTCTATATTCTGTGCTATATATTCTATATTATGCACTCTTCGTATTTTCATGTACATTTTTCTTTTCACTGTGTTGTTCCAAAGGGTTTTTTTTTTCCCCAAAAGGTGTCCTGGACTTTCTTGTGTTTTTTGAAAATTTTTCATTTCCTGTAAAACAGCAACAGGGACCTATTACCACATGTGGTGGGAATGTTCTAAAGCCCGGGATTATTGGAATAGGATAAGAAAATGGTTGAAAGAAATTTTAATGTTGGAGATAGAGCTAAAACCTGAACTCTTTTTATTGGGCATAACCACAGATAAATATAAGAAGGGAACAGTTTATTTGATGTTACACATCTTGACTGCCACTAGATTGGCTTTTGCACAAAAATGGAAGAACAAAGGAACTACCACAGATGAAGAGATACTGCATAAAATACTATCTTGTGCTGAAATGGACAGGCTTACGATGGAATTGAAAGATAAGAGTGGATCAGAATATTTTGAAATCTGGGATAAATTGTACTATTGGTGGGAATCAAGGAGGACTGCTGGGGTTATAGATTAGTGATAAGATGAAAATATATATACTGCTCAAAAAAATAAAGGGAACACAAAAATAAGACATCCTATAGTTTTGTGTTCCCTTTATTTTTTTGAGCAGTATATATTCCTAGGTTAGTAAATAGAGAAAATGTATCTAGTATTGTATAAAAAGTTTATATATATATTCATAGAGATAAAGAATTGAACTTAAAGGGAGAAATAATTTGACAGAAATGTTCAAACTGGAATGTTAAGTCATGTCCAATGTTTTCTTTCTTTTTTTAATTGTATTATAAATAAAAAACTTTTTAAAAAATGTTTCATTTCCCATCCAAGAAGCTTCTTCAGTGCTAACTGACTGGTGGGGAATAGAAGAATTTATATTCTTTGCAGTCATCTGTTCTGAAGACTGCAGATGATTGCAGAAAATATAAATCCTTTCATTCCCCACCAGTCAGTCAGAAGTGAAGAAGCTTCTTGGATGAGAAGTGAAATGTTTTCAGAGGAAAAAGAACAAGAAAGTCCAGGGGAAAAAAGCACCTTTGGAAACAACCATGATCTGGTTGATTGAGTATCTCCATAGACATTCTCAATCCATAGTACCTATACAGATCTATTTTTGACCCTTCTTAAAACTTTATTGACCACATCAATGCAATTGAACCAATATCTGTGGGGTTTCTTGAGTCTCACACATTGAAATATGAACCAAATTTGAGGCTGCTTAACTAGTCACAGTATGGCTCAATGGGTGATGTGGTGCCATATGTTACAGATCTGGAAGGGCCATTGTTGATTACAGAATTTTAGTCACTTTTTGAAAAGATTAATCAGACATTTGATCAACCTTAAGGGAAATGTGATTTCTGATGGCCTTGTGAATTTGTAATTGAACTGGCAATGAAGCAATTTCAAAAATCCCCCCCTCTAACCTGTAATTCCAACATTTCCTGGTGATGTCCTATGTAACCAACCAGGTCCAATCCTAAGTATGACAACAGATATTTGGGGATGTCAAGACATAAGGTCCACCGTTATATTTTTCCATCTGATGCAGATGCAGAAGTTGCAAGATTCATATCAATATGTCATGATATGTCCCCTCTTAACATTTATTGTAATGAATTGTAATTGAAGGACCTCTTTATATATACATACATATACATGTATGTGTATGTATACATATATGTGTACATGTGTATCCATGTCTGTGTGTCTCTATATATGTCTCTGTATCCACATCCAATGGAACACTCACAGTTTTTCCCCAGATATTTTCATTCTTGGTGGTCCTTCCTTGTATAAGAAAGACTCTACATCCTTTTCTATTATCTGTGCTAAATTTCACCTTTGGTTTCTTGTAAAATGCCACACTTCTAATAGCAAACCAAATCAAATCACTTTTGATTATAGTAATTTGTCATCATATACTTTGAATAAAGGATGAGGTATCAGGAAGAATATATTTTGTTTCACTACATTTTTCTTATTATTAATTAACCGGATAATAAGTTACAGTACAAATAGTTGGATGGATAAAGAGTCAGCACAAAACTTTTTAAAAATAACATTATATGTACAGGTTTCAAAACATCCAGAAATACTAAATTTCAAACAACCCTAACCAATCCAAAATTGAAACCTTATGATAGCCGTGTTAAATACATGTTTCTCTCAAAAGGGATAGATACTCAAAATCTTATACATTCAAAATAAAAAAGGGCTAGGTTAAGAGAATGGTTGAAAACGTAGCAGCCTGAACACTTATTTTGCAATGGGTACCCATAAGAAATATCAGAAATCATAATAATCTTCCATAAATCCTCTTTTGACAGAAATATCTACTTCTATATGTACCTCTAGACAGCAATCAGACATTCTATTCTTTTTTGGCAAGCAATTTAATATAGTAAGAAATATTACATGATATACTAATTCCTCTTTATGAGTTGCTTCCTGTGGTTTAGCTCAGGCCGCAAAACAATGATGTAGCACTTTGGCAAGAATATGCATCCCAGTAATGCAGCACTGGAGGACAAGATGGAGAAGACCTCCACAGCTACCATGGCTTTGCCTTTTGTGCTCAGATAGGCTGGAAAGAAGGAGACCCACACACTGCAAAAGGCCAACATGCTGAAGGTGATGAACTTGGCTTCGTTAAAGCTGTCAGGTAATTTACGGGCAAGAAAAGCCACAATAAAGCTGGCAATGGCCAAGATACCCATGTAGCCCAAGACACAGAAGAAAAAGAAAGCTGATCCCTCATTGCACTGTAAAATCATTTGTTGAAGCTCTGAATGCATGTCCAACTCAGGGTATGGGGGAGATATCAACAACCAAAGGATACAAATACACACTTGGAAAAGAGAACAGGAAAGGACAGTGCAAAAAGCTAATCTTTTCCCCACCCATCTCATCATCTGAGATCCCGGTTTAGTGGCCATGAAAGCAACAACTACAGTGATGGTTTTGGCCAGAACACTAGAAATGGCCACTGAGAAAGTGATGCCAAACATTGATTGTCGGAGAAGGCAGGTCACTTTGCCAGGCTGGCTGAGAAAGAACAAAGAGGAGAGAAAACAGAGCAGAAGAGAGACAAGTAGGATGTAGGTGAGAAACCGGTTGTTGACTTTGACAATAGGAGTCTCTCTGTACTTAATAAAAGTTCCAAGTGCCCAAGAGGTCAAGAAGAAGAAACAAAAAGCAACTGAGGCTAAACAATGTCCCAAGGTTTCTTCAAAAGTTAGAAAGACTACCAATTTCAGGATACATCCTTTCTTTTCTTTATTTGGATAATGATCTTGTGAACATTCAAAACAGTCATCCATATCTGAAAGAAAAGTCAAGACATTTTTCATTTATCTATTCCATAGCAATAGCAATAGCAATACCAATAGCAACAGCAATAGCACTTAGACTTACAATATACTTCTTCATAGAACTTTACAGCACTCTCTAAGTGGTGTACAAAGTCAGTATATTGCCCCTAACAATCTGAGTTCTCATTTTACTGACTTCAAAGTGATGGAAGGCTGAGGGAACTTGAGCCAGTCAGGATCAAACTCCTGGCAGTGAGCAGAGTTAGCCTGCAACAATGCATTCTAACCACTGCATCACCACAGCTCCTAGTCATAATCTGGTTAATTGCCAACTGTTGTTCCATTTTGAGTTCTTTCCACATGTTACCAGTTGGATCATGTTTCTATGAAAATACATTTTCTCTCAATGTGATCATTTAGAATTGGCATAAATGAAGGGAAGTGTAATTGTTCTTTGAAATGCAATTTTTTCCCACATTTTCAAATTTATTACAATATAGGCAATGTGAATTTTCCCATTTTCCCAAAACATGGAAAAAAATAACTGTGATGATGGATATATAACAAGTAAGAGAATGAGAAGTATGGACTCTGAGGTGCAAACAATATAATACATTTAAACCTGTTTAGCTTTCCTCCTTCCTAAAGAGTGAGTAAACTAAGAAAAGATCGGTATTTTTATTTGGAAAAAAAAGGTGGGGTCCAAGAAGAATAAATAGACATTCATTATTTAAACTTTAATCAGAAGTTTAAATTTAATTAGCTTCTCCTTTTTTTTCCTATGCCATCTTTAAAAGAGATTAGTGGTCATCAAACCATACTTTCAGCTCAATAAAACGAAAAAGAAGAAAAAAATAAAGAAATTGAATTAAATTAATGCTCATATACTCCAAATATATGCTCAGATGCTTTTGTTCTTTGTTTGTAAGAAGAAAATGTGTTGTCTTTGTTTTTTCAGCATCCTTTTTCTTTAATTCTGAGTTTATTCTATGTTACTGGCTGATTATCTCTCATTCATGTATTTACTAGGTCAGACATTGCAAAGCTGGATTTATAATGAGTAGGTTGTCATTCCAAGCAATTCGGTTCAGCATAAACTCCAGGAAATATTAGGAATAGGTGCCTGGTATTAATCATCTGAAAATTATTACATTCACATAGCACCCAAAGTTAATCAAAATAATGTGCGACCATCAGTATTCTCAATATTTGATACTGTTACATGGACACTGAAAATCACAGAGACAATAACACCAATGCAAAAGAAATTAGAAATGTGGATATTAGCTTCTTCTTCTTCTTCTTCTTCTTCTTCTTCTTCTTCTTCTTCTTCTTCTTCTTCTTCTTCTTCTTCTTCTTCTTCTTCTTCTTCTTCTTCTTCTCCTCCTCCTCCTCCTCCTCCTCCTCCTCNCTCTCTCTCTCTCTCTCTCTCTCTCTCTCTCTCTCTCTCTCTCTCTCTCTCTCTCTCTCTCTCTCTCTCCCTCTCCCTCTCCCTCTCCCTCTCCCTCTCCCTCTCCCTCTATTATCTATTATCTATTATCTATTATCTATCATCTATCTATTATTCCACCGGGAATAGACAGACAGATATTCCCAGTGGAATAATAGTTGCAGGATTCCCATAAACAAATTTGAGAATCAACTATAAATATTTCCCATTAAAAATTGGTAAAACTTGTAATAATACAAATACACATCTAGGACGTTACCATTATTTGAAGCCTATATAAGGAATGTTTTTAATGAAAAATTAATGGTCTAATATGAAAATATGGTGAAAATACCAGTTTGATTTGAAATCTTCCCCTCTGAACATGGAACACAATCATAACAACAGAACACTCTCCCTTCAGCCCTTTTCTTCCAGTAACCAGGGGAACAAGGATCATTACACAGAGAAACAGGCAAAACCTAGAGATATAGATATATATATGAAAGAATCTGGATTAGACAATGGAAATTATCAAAATTGGATTATATGAATGACCTTTGACTTTATTAATATTTGGGAGGGGGGTGTAGAAATTCCTGAAATCATAGAGACAAGAACAACAAGCAAAAGAAATTGCAACTCTGAATAATAACAACTACTCCTAATATAAATAAGGGTCAAATGGTGAAATAAAATATGATGATCTCTTCTTTCTTTCTTTCTTTCTTTCTTTCTTTCTTTCTTTCTTTCTTTCTTTCTTTCTTTCTTTCTTTCTTTCTCCCTCCCTCTCCCCCTCTCCCCCTCTCCCTCTCCCTCTCCCCCTCTCCCTCTTTCCCTCTCCCTCATCTCTGTCTGTCTGTCTGTCTGTCTGTCTGTCTGTCTGTCTGTCTGTCTGTCTGTCTGTCTGTCTGTCTGTCTATCTATCTATCTATCTATCTATCTATCTATCTATCTATCTATCTATCTATCTATCATCTATCTATCATGACCTGCAGCATTGTTATATAATATGAATTTTCACTAGACCATTGCAGAAATTCAGGGCTGTAGTATGTATGAAAAAGATGATGGGAGACCCATTCTAAAAATAATAAAACTTCATGAGGACATTTTATGATGGACCTAATGGCCTATTTTCTTGGTAAGGATCAAATATTTTATCCTTGTTTTTTTCCACCACATTTTTCTCTTTAATTCTGAGTCTACTTTACAAACTGTAATAGGCTGTTCATCTCCCATTCATAAGTTTGTTAGGTCAGACATTGCTTAGCTGGACTTATGAGTAGGTTGAGACCCAACACATAATCCAGGAATCACCATCACAATGCCTGATTTTCTGGGAATTTTTTGAAACAAGTAAGGGATGATGCTAAAGGACATATTAGAAGGATATATAATGTTTTACTAGAACTGGATTCAGAAACTGAGCTAGTTAAAGACTGTATGATTAAATGGGCTCAAAATATAGGAGAAATAATATCTATGGATACCTGGGAGTTGATATGGGTGAGAAATGTGAAATTTACGCAGGCACAA